CCAACGGGATCCACCCGCCAGGACTCGGCCAGTCGGCCGAGTGGGCACCTGGGACCCCTGGCTGGTGCGGGCTGCGCTAGGGAGATTGGGGGAGATTGGAGCTAGGCTGGTGGGGTTCAGAGCCCACACAGAGGAGCCAGTGACCTACATCGGACAACTTCGCATAGGAGTGTCCAGAGTGATGGGACCATCTTCATCCGCAAGGTTGAATGGTTAGAGTGGGGAGACTGGGAGCCAGGACTCCTGGGTTCTCCTCCTGGCTCTGGGAGTGGGGTGTAGTGGGTGAGAGCAATGAAGGCTGGGAGCCAGGATACCTGGGTTCTGTCCCCAGCAGGGAGGAAGACCAACTTCATTAGCTAGGGCAGGTAACTCTTGATAAAGCTAGGGCAGGTAACTCTTGATAAGTGTTGGCCGTTGTTCACGTTAAAGGACTTTTGTTTTCTATTGTCATCCTTTCTTCCCGTTGCTGCCGCTTGTGTCTAATGGACCCTCTCCCCTGCCTGAAATACACCTCCGTGCGTGTGACTGCAAGCGCCGTGTGGGTGACAGCCGCGGTGGGAAAGTGGGGCACACGGCTCCTTTGGGGGCAGAGGAGCTGGGATTTCTGGGAGTAGCCAGTGGCAGGGGCTGGCTAGCAGGCAGGGATGGGTCAAAGGAATTCGGGTACCGGGGTGCAACTACTGTTAACCTGCACGGCAAAATGAGTGTTCCTGGGTTCTCTCCCCAGCGGTGGGAGGGGAGTGGGGTCTAGTGGTTAGAGCAGGGGGGTTGGGAGCCAGGACTCCTGGGTTCTCCTCCTGGCTCTGGGAGTGGGGTGTAGTGGGTGAGAGCAATGAAGGCTGGGAGCCAGGATACCTGGGTTCTGTCCCCAGCAGGGAGGAAGACCAACTTCATTAGCTAGGGCAGGTAACTCTTGATAAAGCTAGGGCAGGTAACTCTTGATAAGTGTTGGCCGTTGTTCACGTTAAAGGACTTTTGTTTTCTATTGTCATCCTTTCTTCCCGTTGCTGCCGCTTGTGTCTAATGGACCCTCTCCCCTGCCTGAAATACACCTCCGTGCGTGTGACTGCAAGCGCCGTGTGGGTGACAGCCGCGGTGGGAAAGTGGGGCACACGGCTCCTTTGGGGGCAGAGGAGCTGGGATTTCTGGGAGTAGCCAGTGGCAGGGGCTGGCTAGCAGGCAGGGATGGGTCAAAGGAATTCGGGTACCGGGGTGCAACTACTGTTAACCTGCACGGCAAAATGAGTGTTCCTGGGTTCTCTCCCCAGCTCTGGGTGGGGAGTGGGGTCTAGTGGTTGGGGAAGGGGGGGGGTTGGGAGCCAGGACGCCTGGGTTCTCTCCCCAGCTGAGGGCTGAGCAGGGGCCTCTCCCTTGGCAGGGCCGGCCCCAGGGCAGCGCTAGGAGTGGGGGCAGGCACCTGAGGCTGGCAGGCTGGGGATTATTTCTCTGCAATGAATCCAGGGCCCTTTGGACTCTGGTAACTTCACTCCACCCCCACCCTGTGAACGACGCTTCTTGACATGGGGGCGGGGGGCTGGGAGCACCAAGCTCTTCCTGCTGGCGGGACGGGAGGGGCTGGAGAGGAGGCGGCTGGGTCCCACGCTGCCCTGCCGGTGCCCCTCACTCCCGACTAGGGTGACCAGATGTCCCGATTTTATAGGGACAGTCCCGATTTTGGGGTCTTTTTCTTATATAGGCTCCTATTACCCCCCACCCTTGTCCCGATTTTTCACATTTGCTGTCTGGTCACCCTACTCCCGACCCGCAGCCCCTGCCAGCCCGGCCCTGGGCTCCCCCCAGCCCTGCCGGTGCCCCTCACTCCCGACCCGCAGCCCCTGCCAGCCCGGCCCTGGACTCCCCCCAGCTCTGCCGGTGCCCCTCACTCCCGACCCGCAGCCCCTGCCAGCCCGGC